CAGCAACGGAATTGCAACCCCTGGCGTTGCTCCTGCGCCTCGCTCAGCCAGTGAGCGGGAACCGGTCTGTATGTGGGATCCGAACCCTCGGGCGGAAGCACCGCCGCGCTTCCCAAGCGGCGCACTTATCCAGTGCGCCACCGGGCCGGCCCCTACTTTCTTTAAGTTTAATTAGCAGTTCTTTTTCTGATTCATTGAGAGGGATGTTTTCTCTTTTCTAATATATGCTTTTAAAACAGTGATTATTAACTTTAGCTGTGCAATGGAATCGCCGGTTTAATTAGCAGTTCTTTTTCTGATTCATTGAGAGGGATGTTTTTTCTTTTCTAATATATGCTTTTAAAACAGTGATTATTAACTTTAGCTGTGCAATGGAATCGCCTGGGGAGCTTTCAAATGCTTGGGTCTCACCCCTAGAGATTCTGATGTAATTGGTCTGAGACATGCCTTGGACATCATCAGCTCCCCAAGTGATTCTGGGTGCAGCTAAGGCAGAGAACCACAGATTTAAATCTATACCCTCCAAGTACAACTTTAACTGCATCTCACAAGTTTTTAATATTTCTTCATCATTCAGTTCAAATCAGTTTAAAATTTCTGCTGTGATTTAATTTATATAAATTTTTAAAATAGGCTTCTACAGAATTGGTGATATTATGTCTCTTGTTCTGGGTAGTGGTTAATGAGCATGTTCAATTTTTGATAATTTACTGAGCTAGACCCTTAGGATTTGTAAATATTTCTGTAACTTTATACTACACTTCAATATAATATTTTTAAGAGAAAAAGCAGATCCCACACAGGGAGTGGGAATTATAATGGCATTAGCATTCTCAATATTATACTGGAAACTAGAAGAAATAACACAATGCCTTCTAAATTCTAATGGAAAATGATTTCCAGCTTAGAATTCTGTATCCATATTTTCAATCAAATAGTGAGTGTAAAATAAAGACATTTTCAGTGAGGGAAGCCCACAGAAAAGTTACCTCCCATGCACCTTTTCTTAGAAACCTCTTAGAGAATGTGCTCTAGTAAAAGGAGAGAATATATAGAAAGATGAAGACATGGGATATGGAAAATGGAGACTCCAACATAGGAGAAAGGCAGGAGAAATCCCCAAGGGAAACAGAAAAAAAAAAAAAAAAAAAGAAAGAAAGAAATTCCCAAGATGACAGTTGTACAGCAGGCCTCAAGAACAACTAGTGCACTTGGGGGCAGGACGCTGGAGGGTTCTAGGGCAGACATATCCAAAAGAAATCAGAGCCAAGAAGGTACCTGCTTATGTTTGACTAAATTGAGAGATATTTCTGTTCTGTCACAGTACAAGGCTGTATCAGGAGTAGGTATATAGAAAAATCAAATGATTAAAACCAAAACATGCAAATACTAGAAAAAAGCAAATAGTGACACCTCCCCCATCAAAAAAATAAATAAATAAATAAGGGGGTACTATAATCACAGTTCACTTGAGCTGTAAATAGGAGTTTTATGGTCATAATAATATAAATAGGGATCACTGATGTAGCCAAGCTACATCACTGATGTAATATATCTGTATTAAATGAACGGGAGGAAGGAGATTTTGTATGTGTTTGTCATGTGGGGGGAGTTGGTAGGTGAGATAATGTAAGACAGTAGGACAATTTCTACAGTCTGACATCAAAAGATAACTGAACTAAAAAATTAAGAATTAGTGGTAAGCACAGAGAAGTAAAAAACACCTGAAGCAATTTAAACTGAGGGGAAGTGGGAAGGCATGAGGCAGGCTGTTGCTGCTTTCTCTTATAAGCACTGTAGCACTTATTTGTCTTTTCCAATTATTTGTACATAGTACTTTCAGAAAAATAAAATTAAACTAAGAAAAAACTATGAAAATAAAAGAGATTCCCAAGGAACTAAAAAATAATTTTTAGTTTTAAAACTGGATAATCACTGGAACATCTCTTGAACAAGCAGAAGATATGTAGCTCACATCAGTAACCATTATTATTAAATTTTGTTTTAGTCCAAAATTCTCCCCATATAAAGAGTCACATTTTCTACTATTTAGTATAAGGCACATGCAAAGCTGCTCCCACCAAAAGCCAGAACATACAAACCAAATGTTTTCATTTTATCAGGTTAGACCAAATTTACATTTTGTAATTTACATGTAACTCTTCAGGAACAAGTACAAAGTAAGTTTGATCTGCTGTGGAAACAGAATTATTCTTTTATCTTTTATGAGCTGATACTCAATTAATGGAATTAAGTGCTTGAATCAAAAAGACTGATATAGTTTGTATAAGTGAAATTACCTGAAAAAAGTCACGAAGAACTGTACCAGGTCCATAAAATTGCTGTGCTGGGAGAAGGCAATCTGTGACAGAAAAACAGGCAGTGTGATTATGTAGGTTACGAAATAGCACCACTGGCTCAACCTTCTCATTTCAAGAATTAAGCTGAAAGACAGACTTTACATTTTAAAGAAGAAATTAATGGAATTTTTTGCAGTTAAGGAAAAGTGCCTCACCCTTTAGTTTCTTTTCTTATTTAGTTGCCAACCCAAAAAGTAACATTCTGAGGCTTCAGCACAACCAACAGCCCCCCTGTGAACTTTACAATAGATCTGCAGTCCTTTTCATCTGTCCCTGGAAACCCCTCAGCCCCCCACATGAATCCCTAATGGCAGGCGGGCTACCTCAAGGTAGCCTCATTTTGTGCCCTTCATCCCATCAATATGTATGTACTCAGTGTGTACTCACTTTGATACTGTCCTTTTTTAAAAGAATTGTCTCAAGTTTTGCTACAATGAATATGAACTGACAATATGTCATCAGTTGGAACTTAATTTTATTATACAGTTAATAGTCTTTATACCAAGAATATGAAACATCCCTAATGTAAATACAATGAAATCATCAAATCTAAAACACCACTGACTGAAAGAGGCATTATTTTGTGTACAATTAAGAAAAAACACTGCCAATTAAACTATGACATAATGCCTTTTTAATCAGTGACTGTAAGATGTACTGTCATTTGAGAAATACCAGAATATGAAAAAATGTGCACCTCATAACTGATTAAATATAATTGACTCCTTATTATCAGAATGCCTTTTTAATCAGTGACTGTAAGATGTACTGTCATTTGAGAAACACCAGAATATGAAAAAATGTGCACCTCATAACTGATTAAATATAATTGACTCCTTATTATCACCTACGACATATGCAGTACTAGCCAGGTGTTCTGAGGTATTTCCTGCTTTTTTTAAGGAACACAGCCCTCTTTGAAGAGACAATGGTACTATAACTGAATCAATTAGTGAATAAGTGATAGTTAGTGATAATTGTTCCAGTATAGATAAGTATGACACAAATCAGGAAAGTAAATGATTAGCATCTTGTTTTCCTAATCCCACCCAACCCCCATCCCTTGCACTCTTTTTACAGCCAGACTCACAATGAGGCAGAAGGAAGACTCCCACTGTTTGCTATTTTGATGGTCTTATTTTCTTTTTGACATTCCAGTACTACCAAAAGGCCATAAAATATTATGGAGCATGAAATTTGAAGTTTTTGTGTCCTCCTTCTAGCCACCATTTACAATGAGAGATACAAAGTTACATAGATTTCATATAATAGATAAAGAGAGAGACCCACTTTCTTTTCCTTCATTTTTTACAGTATCCAGTCCCAAATAACAAGGCTCCTTGACAGAAGGACAGCTGCAGAATAAGGGCCATGGGCCTCACATAAAAGCTTTTTAATAAGACTGGAGAAGGACAATTATGTAAACAGGGTTATTCAATCTTAGGGAATGAAGATTCCAAGTTACAACACATCAGGAGAGAGAAGGAGACAGATTCTAGTCCATCTCAGCTGTTTAGATTTTAATCTTTTAAAACATTAGTGCTTCCTCAGTGTCCACACTTAAAGAAATCCGTGAAATACCTTTACTCACTGGATGCTAAAAGCCTCTGGATGCTAATAGTACCTTCTGAGGACCCATCAAGTGTACATGTTGCCCTGTGTCACACAACATTCCTCAGGGCAGCGCCCCCACTGCTAGGATCCAAATCAGCCTGACTTCTTCTTGACACAGGATCACACCATGTTGATGTCCAATTTATAGTAATAAATAACCTCATATAAACTGGCTGTCAGTGGGGCTGATACCCAAGACAGTAAAAGAGGTCCTCTTTTGTTGAATCTTTATCATCTTAAGTCCCCACAATTACAAAGTTGTGTAAGGAAGCAACAGTCATAATGTAAACACATGTTTATGAATGCACTGACCACTTGGAAACATCTAACCCGGCTTAATACCCCAACCATCTTGTCAGTCTTTGTTGGTCAATCTTTGATTGATAAGGTGATGAACTTATTGTCCAAACTGAGAATTTCTGAGAGTGAAGGGAATGCTATTAAAAATTACCCAGTGTAACAAGCATACTTTGTTAATAAGCATAAATAGGGCTGTTTCTACTCTTGATTGTCAGACAATGCAAACCAACTGCAAAATCAATCTTGCAAAAGACAAGATTTTAATGAAAGTACTGTTGGAGAACTGCTCATACAAAACCATTGATAAATGAAGACTTGGCAAATTTAGCCCTGTTATCAACTGAAGAAGGGATAAAAAATGAAGACATAAGTGCCTCATGATACTCTGAACAGGATAAAGAGAGGACTTCGGGAAAACTGATGAGGCCCGTAACTACTGTTTTAAACTATGCTGTGAAGTGAAGGCCTCCATGATGGAATTGTCATATCTCTCAGCACCATGTGTACAACTTATTTATGGTCTTTTTTCTTCCACTAGAAAATAAGATCTGTGAGGACTGAGGACAGGGACTTTACCCTACTATATTTTCAGTGCCTAAAGCAGTCATTGACACATAATAGGTGCTTAATATATTTTGCTTAATAAATGAGTGTGATAATTGGAAAAATAACAACCTCTCTTTCTCTCCAAACTCAATAATACCTGATTAATTTTTCTTTCTTTTAAGAACTGGCTCGTGGTTTCAACCATAATTTAAACTTTAACTGTAAAATTAAAATAAACATTTTTCATACTTTTTGGGTTTTTTTTCAAGATACTATCCCGATCAAATCTTTCTTTCATAATTTATTGTGAAAACATTGAGATGGATTTGGGGGCTTTTCTGGTAATGAAGGTAATGAGGACTTCCTATACTAAAATCTGTTTTCTTTTTTTTTGTCTTTTTTTCGTGACCAGCAACGGGTTTCGCAACCCTCAGTGTCGCGCCCGTACCGGACCGGGACCGGCAACGGGATCGCAACCCTCATGACCAGCAACGGGTTTCGCAACCCTCAGTGTCGCGCCCGTACCGGACTGGGACCGGCAACGGGATCGCTACCCTCGGTGTTGCGCCCGCCCCTCGCTCAGCCAGTGAGTGGGAACCGGTCTGTATGTGGGATCCGAACCCTCGGCGGGAGTGCCGCCGCGCTCCCAAGCGGCGCACTGTAGCAGTGTGCCACCGGGCTGGCCCCTAAAATCTGTTTTAATACAGAAAAGAAAATCTCATTATAGTTTATAAATAAAACTCACAATGTCCTTCTTTTCCTTTTCTAAATAGTAGATACCACTCTCCACACTCCAAGAAATCTAAAATTTATGTCCCCCTACATTTACACAACCTGATTCTAACTCAACTTTCACCAATATGTTTGATTAAGGTGTGTTTGCCCTGGGGCCCTGTGGATGTGTTATATAAATTCTGAAAAACTCAGAGGCTCAGCAAGCCCCAGGGTTTGGGTAGGATACTGTGACCTGCACTTCCCAAACACTAATTTTGTGCTTCAGCCAAACAAGAGTTTTCAGGTCATTGTACTACTCTACTTGATTCTGGACAAGGCACCAGACAGTTTCTGCGCCTGTCCACAGTGGGGGTCCTCCATGTCCTTCCTATCCCTCCCTCATTCAGCCATACCCAACCTCCACTGGGAAATGGCTTGCTCTCCTTTACACTCCCTCAGCGCTCAAACCACTTCCCTTTCATGGCAGGTGATAATCATATTCTGCCTTATGTTCTAAGATACCTCAGAGAAGAGGATTCCTATATTCCTCATTCTATGAAGAAACCAATTTCTGACTTTTTAATTGTTGTGGTAGGAAAATGAATAAAAAGGTAATTGCCTACCTCCCACACAAGAGCAGATATACCTTTGTATTCCAAAAACTAGGCCATGGTTCTCAAACTCTGGAGATCTTGCAACAAAGGCAGAATCCCAGGCCCTATTCCTACTTCTTTATCTTTAAGCTCCCCAGGTGATTCTGATGCTGGTGTCCACAGGCCACCCTTCAGGAAACTCTGAAATAAGGAATTATTAAAAAAAGAAAAAAAAAAAAAAATCCTCTCTTGCTCCTTTCCCGAACAATATTTTTTAGCGCTTCTGGAACCTCACTGAAAAAAATCCTTACTTTACTTGAAAGGTTAAAGTCCCAAAAGAAATGAACTTGTATCTTCCCAGAGGGTGGGAGGGTGGTGGGGGAAGGATAAGGGTAGAGGAAGAAAGTACAGTGCTGCTGAACAAAAGGAAAGGCGTGGCCTAAACTTGGAGATTGCAAAGGGAGGGGGTGGAGAGGATTTTTTAGCATTTTGAAAGTGCCTGGGAATATGGGGTGTCTGCATGGTGGGCCTGGGAAGGCTCTGGAGCCTCAGTGATTATTCTGTGTCCAAAGCTGTCACACATGACAGTGAGGGGCCAGAGCCCCCAGAGCAGCAGTCAGTGAATGAAGATCAATCGGAGGACCTTTCCCAAATCTTTGGGATCAGTTAAGCCCTGAGGTTTCTGTATATCTCGGAGAGAAGGGAATGGGTCTCTGAAAACAGAGGCTGAGAATGAATTTCTCATCATACGTGGTGGGTAGAGGCTGAGCCCAAGCATACTATAAAAATAAGGAAATATGGCATTTCTTATACTCAGCTACCACAGAACAAATGCTTTCCCTTTTTTAAAAACATTTGTATTTCTCACCTACTATGTGCCATCCACAAAGTATGCACTCAAAATCTTGAATGAATGAATACTGAATGACTACAGAAAGAGCATTGTTTAACACAGAAGGTTTGAAAAGAGAGAACCTCTAATTTGCCTTTATCTTCTCCACCAAGAACGTCATTGTTCTAAGCATGCAAGACAGGGAAAGGATGATGGGAAAGGACAGCTGACCGTGCTGAGAGGTGAAGCCTTCCAGCTTCAAAGCAGTGCCTGTTGGGCTCTGAGAAAACCCAAGGTACGTATGTGTATAGCTGCCAGAATCTCAACAAGCTGCTCCCACAACCCCCTGGGGCCAGCATCTCCACCAAGGCTAAGCCTAGGCTCTACAGATGCTGAAGACTTT